AGAAAAGACCTTTCACCTGACCTTTGCTTTTTGCAAGGTCGGGGCGGTGCTTGGAAACAGCCAAGTTCTGTTTTATTTCCGTCTTCTCAGCTGAGCACTTTGCTCTGTGCTCTCCCATGTCATCTCATCTAATTCTGACAATGGTTTTGTGAGCTGGGGTACCCATCCTCATCCCTCTTAAGTAGCGGGTTGGAACCCAGTTTGTTTGAAACCAAAGCCTGGGATTTACCCGCACCAACCGGATGATATTCTAGAGCAGGAGTTGACCAAGCTCAGCCCGAAATTCATATCCAGCCCTTCCCTCTGTGTGTTTTTATACGTCTGTGAAACAAGAAACTTTTAAAAATATCTATATATTTAATTTTATTGATATCAGAGAGAGGAAGGGAGAGCGAGAGAGGGATGGAAACATCAATGACGAGAGAGAATCACTGATGGGCTGCCTCCTGCACGCCCCCTACCGGGGATGGACCCCCATACCCTGGGCATGCTCCTTGACTGGGAATCTCATCAGCAACCTCTTGGTGCAGTAGAGGGCGCTCAACCAACTGAGCCACACCCGCCAGGCAACTTATTAATGATATATTTTACATTGTTTTTTTACATTGTTATTAAGTCCTCAGAATCTGTTGTATATTTTGCACGTATGGCACGTCTCAGCTCAGGCTGGCTGTGCTGCGTGTTCAGTGCTCAGTGGCCACACGTGGGCAGTGGCTGCCTGATTGGACGGTGCACTTGGCCATCCCATGTCATTGGCTGTGTTGGTCATCCCGACTGTGGAGATTTTACCAAAATGGCCATCTTTGTGCACGTGGCCTTTTTCTTCTTTGGGGAGCAGATTCCCAGCAGTGGAATCACAGGGGTGTGTAGTGTTTGAGACATTGTTGATCTGTGTTTTAGATGCTCTCCCATGTGAGGAGGGACCTGGAAGAAGAGAAACATCACCGCAGGAGCCAGATCAAGATGTTGGCCAAGCAGAACGGGAGGCTTCTAGAAAAGAGTGTGGAGAACAGGACTCAGCGCTTGTAAGGGGTGTGGGCTGACTGACACCTGCCCGCAAAGGACTCTGGGCTTCCCGCTCCACACCTAGGCCTCGACATTCTAGGCAGAGAGCCCCCTGGTGCACTGGTGTCCCAAGGGTAAGGGGACAGACCATCTTTCCAGGGCATCCTTCTCTCATTTCCCTGGAATGGTTCTAGATTTCTGCAAGTAGGGGTTGTTGGCTTTTGTTGGCTTTTCAAAGACACTGCCCACTGCCAGATGCTTCTTAATCTGCTTTGGGAATTCAGTTTAGTTTAAAAAATATGACAGAGGTAAAGAGAGGTAACTAGGGAAGGAACTTAGATAGTAGGATGGGCCCCTTTTGTGTCTGTTTTCTCCTTAATGGGCTGGAGAGAGGGTTGTTGGTGAGCCATGACTGTCCTCCCTCTGCCAACATGGCACAACCTTGGCTTTGGCGTAGGCCCTGCGAGGTGCACAAAACCAGCTGCCTGGTGGCCAGGAACTCATAGGGGTGATGGGATGTGAGCAGAGCTGTGCACACCAGACAGATGTTGAGGAGCTCCATGGAGGCGTAGAAGGGAGCGTGGTGGTGGGAGTTGGGGTTCTGCTGCTGACCCAGATGGGGACAGGGCTAGCCAGTGGGGCGGGAGGTGGAGGGACATGAAGGTGGAGCACGGGTGGTCTGGGTGCAGGGAAGGTGCAGGCGATGGCAGGAGGGAAGGCTGGAGCAGGCGGCGCTCAGCTGTGGGAGGTGTCCATGCCCTGCTAATGAGTCCGATTCACTGGGAGGGAGTGTTTGTGGGATGCTGGTCTATAGGGACAAGGGAGCTGCCAGAAATGAGTTGTAATTGTGTGTGTTTGCATGTTCTGAATACCTGTTCCTTACCAGATGTATGATTTAAAAATATTTTCTCCCATTCTGTACATTGTCTTTTCACTTTCTTGATAGTGTCTTTTGAAGTACCAAAGTTTTTAATTTGGTGAAATTCAGTTTTTTGTTTTGTTATCTGTGCTTTTAGTGTCGTATCTAAGAATCCATTGCCTAACTGAAGATCATGATAATTTACTCCTGTTTTCTTCTAAGGGTTTTATAGATTTATTAGAGGCCCGATCCATAAAATTCGTGCACGGGTAGGGTCCCTAGGCCTTGCTGGCGATTAGGGCTGATCTGTGGGGTGACCGGCGGAGTGATGCCCCCCCCACCCCCCTGCTTGCACCCATCTTGGCTGGCCTGGTGCTGCCTGCTCGCCGGCCCCACCCTGGCACTGACCACTCACCAGCCCCATCCTCCACTGCTGCCGCTGGTCGGGGCCTGTGGGCTAGGGGCAGCTCCTGCGTTGAGCGTCTGCCCCCTGGTGGTCAGTGCACATCATAGCGATGGGTCATTCCATCGATTTGCATATTAGGGTTTTATATAGATAGATCGCTCATATTTTGGTCTTTGATCCATTTTGAGTTCATTTTTACATATGATGTAGATAGGGGTCCTACTTTATTCCTTTCATGTGGCTATTCAGTTATCTTAGAACCAAATGTTGAAAAGTTTACCCTTTCCCTAATGCCGGGGGTCTTTCTCAGCATCTAGAAGAGTTCAGGAATCTGGAGAAGGCGCTGCAGTGTAAATTAATAAAGAGACTAGAAATATAATATAAATGTGTAATCCATGGGGGAGCCAGAGTTAGCTGTAGGAACCAAGTTCTCTTGAATCTCCAGACCCCTCGCTCTTTATTAACACAAATTGTCCTAAAGCAAAGTAGATATACATATCAAAGGTCATTGTCAGAGTTTGGGGGAACTGCCTTTGGCTGTTCAGGTGTTTGGCCAGCAGGAGGCAATAATATGTAGATTAAAATGTCCTCAGCAGTCTGGTAGCAGGTAATCATTTATTGCATCCTTTTCAGGTTTGGGGAAATGCCTCCAGCCATTCCAGTAGGTAATCATTCAGCCTGATGAAGCCTCAAGATTCCATCAACCTTTTGATGAAATTTCTTGCATTTATGACCTGCTGGAATTAGCCTCCGGCATTTCCCCCATGCCATTGTCTTAGGAAGCTCCTTGAAAATCATTTGCCCTAAATGAGAGGGTTTATTCTTGGGCACTCAATTCTATTCCATTGATCCATAACTTTATCCTGTGACAAAGTACTAGTCAGTAATTAACTTTTTGGGAACTCTTTGCTCAAAGCTGCTATGAACTTATTCCTACGTGCTTCTTACACTTTTAGGCAACCCATCATTGTTTAATTTCAGAGCAAACTTTTCAGAAGTGGTAAGTGATAAACTCCCCTCTCCCCTCCAAATTACAAGTGACTAAAAATAAAATGCTTTGAGAACATTTTTTAAAAAATTGAAGACATTCTGCGGTGTGGTAATACTCAAACAAGAAATAACTTGCGATTCCGGCGCCCCATTGTTCCTTAGAACCAGCACTCGCTTTCTCCTCAGGGCTGGGCGCTCTCAAAGACCGTTATTCATCACGTTGATGAAACGGAATTTTTGGACTGGAACCCGGATTCTTTGTCCACCAGAGTCGAAGAATGAATCCACAAACAGAGAGTGGTATAGCAAAGGTGAAGATTTATTGAAGAACAAGTTCAGACTCCCACGTGGGGAGGGGGAAAAGGATCCCACTGTGTTCTTTTTCCCTACTCCTTACAAGGCTGCAGATCTTGGTGCTTTGATATCCCCTCTGATTGGTCATTATTCCCTTAGACTGGTTACTATAGTGACTCCTGAACTCAAAGGTCAAACACCACGTGGGATGTGGGATGCCCTCCTCCCTCATTGTTCTTTTCTTTCTGGCTTTCTTCTTCTTTATTTTGTAAACTAGAAGACTAATGCACGAATTCGTGCACCTTGAAAGGAACTGTGGGCCGTGAGGCTGCGGTGGGCACAGGGGCAGGTTTTAGCCCACCCTCTGTACCCGCGCACGGCCCCTCCTGCCGCGGACCCTGGTCCCCTGTTTGCTGGCAGCCCTGCTCCTGCTGCCGTCGCTCTCAAGTGCTGACAGCTCTGGCCCCGCTCACACCCAATGACGGCCTCAATTGCCCCTCAGGTGTGATCAGGGCCAGCAGCAGCTGCTTGCACCTGCTGATGGCACCAAGCGATCAGGACTGGCACCAGGCACCAGCAGTGGGAGCAAACGGCGGCTCCAGTGCCAGCTTTGAGTGCAAGCAGGGTTGTCACTGGTAGTGGGTGCAAGAGGCAGCTGCTGGCCCCGATTGCCCCTCAGGAGCAGGGGGAGGTGGAGAAACCCTGCGGGGCGATTGGGGCCAGCAGCTGCTGCTCACATCAGCTGATGGCACTGAGAAATCAGGGCTGGCGCTGGGCACCGGCAACAGGTGTGAGCGGTGGCTCTGGCACTGGCAGCGGGTGCGAGCGGGGCTGGCACCAGCAACAGGTGCGAGCACCGGGCGGGACTGCAGCGCGCAGGAGCAAAGAATTTTTAGTAACCACCAGAGGCTCGCCCCAATGACAGTGGCCAGCGCTCCACTTTGGTCTGGCGCCCCTGCTCTCCTGCTCCACCATCCCATCACACCCGATGCCCATCATGTTCTGCATGTGCTCCCTTGTGGTCAGTGCACATCATAGCAACTTGTTGTTCCAGTCTATTTGCATATTAGCCTTTTATATATATAGATATAGACATTTTGGGCTACTTCCAGCTCCCTTGTCTTATGTAAATGCAACTGTTGCTGCTCCTGCACCTGGCTTCCTTGTGTTATGGAAATGTGACTGCACCTGGCTACCTTGTGTTATGGAGATGTACCTTCTCCCAATCTGTAGCCCTGTGTTTTTCCATGGACCCCAATTCTAAATATTCCCTAAGCCTGCCTATATTCCCCTAAGATTCCTGTTTCATTGAGGAGGGCAGTTTTCACTCCCCCCTGTTTTGTCTCCCCTGAGCAAGTGTTGCTGTAACTGGGGTTGCAGTTACAGCAACAAACAATGGGTCCGTGCTGCCTGTCACTACTCGAGCCAATGAAGCAGAGACAGGGCTGAATCATAGATGAGCATTTATTCCAGTACTGCCCGCAGTATGAGAGAACAGCAGGTCAGCCACAGAAATCTGCTCTGCACCCCACCATAAGCCAGTTGCTTACATAGCAAAAGCACAAAGGCAAAAGGGCAGTTTACAGATATGCAAAAGGACTAGGGGTCTTCAAAGGGCTTAGCGATATGCAAGGGTTGGGGTTACATGGGGAAATAGCCAAAGGGAGTGCCAGACGGGCAGTTAACAGGTTAGCAGGCTGGAGGTCTGCAAAGCCTGCAGGTGTGCAAAAGGGCTGGGGATCTTCAAAGGACTGGCGATTCTGGTTTCCCTAACAAATCTTTGTGAATCTTTCCATGATAATAGGCAGCTCCAAATGGGGAGAAAGGGCTGCATCTCCAGGTGGCTCCAGCCAGGGTAGAATGTGCCTTCTTTAATCAGAATAAAACAATCATGGTTAACAGAACATGATTAATATTTCTTACAATATTGCCGGTTCCCAAATTCTATTGCTGCCCCCCTTTCATTGCTACATCTCTGAAAGCCACCAAAAATCCTGTGACATTTAGAATTTTTTAAAAAAATATTTTTATTGATTTCAGAGAGGAAGGGAGAGAGAGAGAGATAGAAACATCAATGATGAGGGAGAATCATTGATCAGCTGCCTCTTGCACGTCCCACATTGCAGATAGAGCCTGCAACCTGGGCATGTGCCCTGACCCGGAATCTAACGCAACCTCTTGGTTCCCAGGTCAGTGCTCAACCACTGAGCCACGTGGGCGGGGCCCTCTAGAATTTTTTGATCACCTTTCCAGGATGCAATATGTTCACAACCCAAGCTGCGAAGGGGCAGTGCCTCTCGCCAAAAGCCCGCTCGCCTCCGGAGCGTCGCCCAAGCCTTAAGGACGAGAGAGTCCTGTTCACACTTGTCGGCCCAAAGCTCCAGAGCCCGTCTTACCGGCTGCCCTTCCCTTTTGCCTTCTTGTTTAAACCAGGGCACCGCTGGTCCCAGGCGCACTCGTTCCTGCCCCTCCTGTGCGCTGGCGGCGCTACATCCGGGGGCGCTCCGGGAGCGGCGGAATTTTGCTCGACGCGGGGTCCCCAGGTCGGCATGCTCGCGCGCATGTCCCCTGCGGAGTGCAGTTCCACTGTTG